TCTCTCTCTCTCTCTCTCTCTCTCTCTCTCTCTCTCTCTCTCTCTCTCTCTCTCTCCGCCTTTCAAAACACACCGCTGACCCCTGGGAACCTGAAGCTATGTGAACCCCTATAAACGGGTTGACCACCTTTCTGTTTCATCCCTCTTTTAAGTCACCAGTAGGTGAGCTGGGAGGGAGAGGAGGTCAGGTCTCCCATCAGCCCCCTTTGAGGAATAAACCTGTCAGTCCCTTCGGATATGGGGGTCTTTAGGACCCAGGGGCAAGATCCCCGGAAGGGGAAGCGGCTGGGCCGTGAGGCGCGCGCCGCGGCGAAGTGCGTTTGAACTGCGCGCAGGCGCAGACGTCGCGCGGGGGCGGGGCCGAGGCGGCGGCGGAGGCGGTGTGGCCAGGTACGTGTTCTGCGGCCGCGGGCTGCGCGCGGTGTCTAGTCCTGCGTCCCTCGACTGCCCGGCTCGCTGTGCGGGGGAGCTGGAGTTCGGAGAACCCGGCGCGTGGCGGCCCGGCTGGAGGCTGACCGCGAGGGAAGTGGCGCCGCCGGAGGACTCCGGTCGGGGTCCTCTGCCCGCGGCCCCGGCTTCCTGCAGTAATAGCGCCTCTTAGCGGGCGCTCAGCCAGCGCTGCAGAGAACGACTCCTGCCCGCAGGGTGGGTGCGAGGCCCCCTCTCGCTTCTGCCGCCCTCGGCCCTTGCGGGGTGTGGTCCCCGACAGTTGTAGCGAACGCAGGTTGAGCGCGCCCCACTTGCGGGCGTGTACCTGAGCTTTCTTGGCTCGTTTCCCCCAAAGGGGGACGGTCACAGTCCACGCCTACCTCCTTCAAACAGGTCCTACAATACCATACGGAATTGTAGCCAACGTAATATTTTTAAAAAGGTAAATCAAGCCAAGTTACTCCCCTTATTAAAGTTCAGTTAGTAGAAAAAGATATAGTGTCTTTAACATGCCTTCTTCCCCCACTCCTTTCATCCCGGACCATTACCTTTCTTGCATAAATCCTTCTTCTGATCCTGCAGTTCTATGACCCTGTTCTCACCTTCCAGCCTTTGCCGGTTGCGTTCCCTCTCCCCAGAATGCTCTTCACTTCATGTTTTAGCTGTCTGGGTCCGTTTTATCCTCCGGGTCCCACTCATTAATTTCTTCAGAGATTGTTCCTAAGTAAGGTCATCCCTGTAAAATGTGAAGAGTGTGTGAAATCACCTTAGCTAATTAAATTTTTATGTTGTTAATCTCTCTTCCACTCTAGAAGCAAACTCTCCCAGGACAGAAACTGTATATTGTTAATTTCTTATTCCCAGTGCTCAGTACACAGTAGCTGTTCAATACGCGTGTATTAAGTCAATGAATTGGGGTAGGTAAGCATGATGCTTATTTCACAGCTGAGGAAAACCAGGCTCAGCCCTTATCCAATCTGCCCGCTGCACATGAACCACATAGTTTAAGAATTCAAAAGAAAGTAGATCTTACATTCTGAGTAATTTTTCCTGAGATGGCTCTTGTTTTTAATAGTCACACAACTGTAGCCACTGAAGTAGTTCTTTGAAAGTGAGTTGTGACACCTTAGATACTCCTAGCTAGCAATCCTTTAGAATCTAGAACTCTAGGGGATCCTACCTTTAAAAAACAATAAGTAAATAAAAACAAGTCAACTAATATGTCTAAGCCACTTTAAGTAGAAGTTAAACAGCAGATCATTCTGGATGTCTTTCTTAGAGAACCTGGCAATCAGACCGAGTTAACTGTAACAATACATTTCTAACAATTTTAGTTGTCTCATTTGCTTAACCTTGCAGATTAGAAATAGTTCATGAAAATATCTACACTGAGTCTTCACAACCCCCTAGAAGATAATAAAATAGTAGAAATTAACAGAAAACTTTTAGAAAGCAGATATGAGGGCTCAAGAGACCTAGACAGAGTCTAGGGTGTCACTTATTACAGGAACCAGTGGCCCCATCCACCTCTGCAGTTCCAAATGCTTTGACTGTAAAATGGTGTCCATGCAGGTGGGGGTAATAGTCACCCTGTGTCTGGAAGGAGTGTCTCCATACACTCTTCATAAAAGTTCCTTAAAATGTATCATTTACAGAAGAAACCTTGTCTGACTTGACTAGTAATTAATTGAAAAAGTCGGGTGAGAAATTGTGAAAAATGATAGGCACTTTAAAAAAAATTTTTTTTTTTACTTTGAAGTATGAATGTGTATTCATTTGAAAATCTTTTTTTAGGAAAGGGGGTTGGCTCCAACCCCCTTTCCTAGGGGATCTAAACAAGGTCTGGATTCTAAGACAAGGGTGGAGGAGGAGATGGTGACTAGGATTTTTGCTATTGTCAACTTCCTGTAGCAGATTCTGGTAACAGTTACATGGCTTAACCTCTGAGAGGTGTCATAAGTGCTGCTTGTTGCAGAAGCTCATCTGATAGGGAATTTGAGAGCAGTGAAGTCATTTTGCCAATGGCGTGGTGAATGGGAAATGATATTTCTGCCTTTCTGTTCCAGAAGCATGTCTCAGGAAGGCAGTTACGGGAGGTGGACCATATCCAGTAGCGATGAAAGTGAGGATGAGAAGCCCAAACCGGACAAGCCATCAACATCCTCTCTCTCCCATGCTGGGCAGGGAACAGCCAGTGAGCCATGGTTCAACTGTTCCGAAGCTCGAAAAGCTGCTCACAGGAGGCAGACATCACCTGTGCAATTCAGCAGTGCAGATTTGGCTCCACCTCCCAAAAAGCAGAAAAGTGGTTCCCAAGAAGAGCTAGGCTGGTGTCTCTCCAGCAGTGATGATGAACTGCAACCAGAAACTCAGAAGAAGCAGGCGGAGAATGTGGAGGTCAAAGAGGAAAAAGACCTCTCCTCTCCCAAAGATAGTGCTGCCCAGAGAACTGGAAACCATGGCCTTCCTGCCAGCCACAGGCACAAAAGAGAGGAAGACGAGTATGAGACCTCAGGGGAAGGCCAAGACATTTGGGACATGCTTGACAAAGGGAATCCCTTCCAGTTCTACCTCACTAGAGTCTCAGGAATTAAGCCCAAGTACAACTCCAAAGCCCTCCACATCAAGGGTAAGAATGCGGACATCAGGAGCTGTGGATTTGGCCTTGACAGGTTTCTCAGTGAACCAAGGAGGCAGCCTGGAATGATCTCCAGGAACCCTCCTTTGTGGTCCTAACTACTCTAGGGAAAAAAATTTTTTGACAAGTTTTTGGCTGTAGGCTGGGGATTCAGGGAAATTAAAGCAAATGCATGATGTGACCAGCACGGTATATTTATACAGCAGATGTATGCAATAAGCATAATTCCCCTTCATTCAGGTTAACTTTTTTCTGGTTCATACTCAAGAATAGATTATGTTCACTGTCAATAATTTTTTTATTTGTCAAATATATAATTGCATATTCAATTTCTTCTGGGTGATGTATAAATGCTGGTGGGTTTAATTCCATACTGTAGTAAATTGGATTCTACAGGTTTTCATTTTCAGAATCTTTTATCTGGGTACTTTGAAGAGATAAGATAGTTGTCAGTGTTTTTATCTTGTTTGAGAGAGAGCAACACAGGAAATGGGGAACTCTGCAAAGCTTGGGTTCCATAATAAAAATAAAAAAGACTGACTGTGAGCACCAAGATCTTATGTGGGTGGGTGACACCATGAGAGGAACTCTGCCTTCATTGTAACCCCACAGTAACTTTATGAGTAGGTGGTCCAGAGTAGATGGTCCAGCAGCAACGATGAACTATAACTGAACAGGTGATGGATCTGCAGTTTAGAAAAACTAAGAACTGTCTGAGATCACAGAGCTGGTAATGGTAAAACTGTGGTTTAAATCCAGGCATTCAGGACCCAAGTCCCTGCTAATTGATACACCATGCTGACACATGCCATCACTGGAGGTTGTCTAGAAGGTCTCATGGAAGAGAGGACATCAGTGGCCTGGCCCTTGAAAGATACATAGGGTTTGGGGAAAAAGGGGCTAGGCATACAGCTCATGGATAGAGTGCTCACCCATCCTGCATATGGCTCCAGGTTCGCTCCTCAGCACCAACAGTTTAGAAGGTGGAGGGGGGCAAGGATGTATCACAGGTTCTTTTAATTGTGCAGCTCTCCCAATAAGCTAGGAACTTCCTTA